ATCCACCTAGATAGCAAACTAACATTCAGAAACCACATAAAACAGGCATTAAGGAAGGCATATGCAGTACAGAAGAGAATCTATCCACTAATGGTGGCAGATTCGGCGCTCTCGCAACGCAACAAACAATTAATATACATCATGCTACTCAGGCCAATAATATTGTACGCGGCTCCGGTATGGTGTAGTGCAGCGCCAACAAACATCAAACCTTTACAAATATATCAAAATAAATGTCTTCGACTCATACTATCAGTAAATAATTATACAAGAATCAGGGATATGCATGAAGAGACAGCGATACCAACCATTACAGAGTATATTAAAGAATTAGCTGAAAATTTTTATAGAAACCAACTAGGGAACAACAAACTTACCAAAAACTTAACTAGCATAAGAAGCTACAATGCACCTTTTGAAATTAAACATAAATTGCCATATCAAGTACTTAATATATTTAACGAAGAATTGTGAAGAAAAAGACTGAGAGTAGAAACAAATAATAAACTAATCATATACCTCAAAACTTAAACAAACATACTGGGATACTAGCCTTGTAAGTAATTGTCGCAAGTAGGTTTTTGTCGAGAACTTTTCCTACAAAATAAGATAATTACCAAACTTAACACCAAATATGATCCAAACATACAACGCATCCGATAAGCAATCTTGTAAAAGATTGCATCAATCACGACTGAACAGTAGGTTAAGCTTGTTAAGTTAAGCAGGGACTACCCAACAGAACATGTCTACCAAATATTATTATAAGTCTAGTGATAAACTGTATTTGTAATAGTATATTTTTGTTAATCATATTAATAAATTTTATTCAAAAAGAAAAAAAAGATTCTCGTCCGATCATCGAAGTTAAACTGCGTTGAGCGTGGTTAGTACTTGGATGGGTGACCGCCTGGGAACACCACGTGCTGTTGGCTCTATTTTTTTTTATTTATTTTCGCCATCTATGTTAATAAACTCAAACGACTATTCTTCTCTAATATTTTTGCGTGATGCAGAAAAGGCATACGATGTTAATAACTAGTAGTGTATATTACTCACTTATTATTATAATGTACGATTGTGGGTGCAGATGGTTTTGAGACATTCCTCGGACACAAGTGAGAATCCTTCCTTGACACCCACAAATCATCTGCGGATGTCCTGAGTCATCGAACAGCATATTCTGGTTACTGTCAATTGCATTGCTTCTATTCAAGGGCCACCACGAGAGATATGTGCTGGAAGACGAGAAAACGCAATTGTTGTTATTAATACATTGCCAACGGCCATATCACGTTGCAAAAAACCGATTCTCGTCCGATCATCGAAGTTAAACTGCGTTGAGCGTGGTTAGTACTTGGATGGGTGACCGCCTGGGAACACCACGTGCTGTTGGCTCTATTTTTTTTTTATTTATTTCCGCCATCTAAGCTAATAAAGTTAGACGGCAGTTCGCCCTACCAAATTTTTGCATGACGCAACAAAAGCATATGATCTAATAAACAGCAATATATATTATTTACTCATTAATTTTATAAAGGATTGCGGAAGAAGATGGTATTCAGACATTCCTCGCAACAAGTAAAAATCCTTCCTTGAGATCCATAAATCATCTGTGGATGTCCTCAGTGATCGAACCGCATATTCTAATTATTGTTCACTACATTAATTACATTGCTTGTCTTCGAGGATAACCATAAAAGATATGTGCTGGAAGAGAAGAAAGCGTAACTGTTGTCACAGTTACTTCGCCAACGGCCATATCACGTTGCAAAGAACCGATTCTCGTCTGATCATCGAAGTTTTAAACAATGTTGAGGAACACCACCTCCTCACCACAAGGAGGTGAGGAACACCAAAACAATGCTTGGGAACACCACGTGCTTGTTGGCTCTATTTTTTATTTTATTATAGATTCTGATTTATAGTTCCCTCTGTCAAGTGAAGAAAAAGCGAAAAGGAGAAGAAATAAAATGATGATAATAAGAAGAATGTATTTGCATTAATAAATATTTCACTTGCTACTAATTCTTTACATATTATCACATATTTTTATTTCCAAGTAATTAACCAGCGCATTATAAAGGAGCATATCCAATGAATTGGAATTTATATACTTTTAATTTTTTTTACTTCCCTGTATAGTACCATATTACCCACTGAAAGAAAGATAATGTTTTAATAAAATGAGTTCTTTCCTTTACGTTATACAAAACACATTTGATGCATAAAATGAACAAAATATTAGCAGCTCACCATAAGGATCATAACGCGGTCCTTCAAATTTGTCAGCTATTCTTTCTCTCCTTAGTACATACTTGTGTCCACTTGCTACGCTTTCCAGCAACACTAAAAGATATCTATTAAAAAATAAGAATGTAAGTAAGAACTGCTTAGGACAGTGTGATGCATATGTATCAAACACTCGTGTCAGTTGTATAAGTATATACTTTAATATACAAATGATTCTTCAAAGAATCTGAATTCTTTAACTAAATACTTTAAGCACACATCAATAAACAACTGATGGATTGAAACATTTTTATTGAATGTAAACCAACTTATCATTTTCAGTTAAAATTACTTTATCAATGAATTAACTTATACTTACTTGCTTTTAACCTTTTTACATAATACACTCGTTATAAACATGATTTATAATTATATTTATATAAAATTCAACGTGTACACTTGGAACTATTTTCCAAACGCAAATGCGAACAACAACACCAAGAGAGGTTAGAAACTTTCTCAGGTTAGGAAACAAGCACAAATGATGATAAAGTAGTTGTCTCTTTTATCATTAAATGAACAAAAAATGATGACTGTTTATTAAATGTTATTTTCTAATAATAAATTCATATTATCATTAATTGGCAGTAATAAGTGCTTTCATACTTTTTCAGTCATTTCTTGTTAACAAAAAAGATATAATAGGTTTTAAACATATAGTACTCGATAGAAGAATCATTAACGAAG